GCTTGGTCTCAGTCGCAGGTCATGGGTCCTCCAACAGGATAATGACCCAAAACACACAGCTAAAAACACCCAAGAATGGCTAAAAGCAAAACATTGGACTATTCTGAATTGGCCTTCTATGAGCCCTGATCCAAATCCTATTGAACATCTGTGGAAGGAGCTTAAACATGCAGTCTGGAGAAGGCACCCTTCAAACCTGAGACAGCTGGAGCAGTTTGCTCATGAGGAGTGGGCCAAAATCCTGTTGACCAGGTGGCAGAAGTCTTGGAGGTTACAGAAATGCATTGTTGCAGTTTGATTGGCCTCCAAAAGGTTGTGCAACAAAAATATTGAAGTGTCAGGGGTCCAGGCCAATTTCATTAGTTTGTTTTTGATGATTCTGTTGAACCCAAAATTTAAAAGCAATGTCTGATTTTCATTAGTTTAATTTTCAAGTACATTTGTGATTTTATTATTACTTTTGTCAAGTTTCAAGTTATTGCAGTGACCATTGTTGGTTTTCTTCTTTAACGGAAGGGGTACCACAATTATAAAAAAAAAAAACGGTTGTTTATGTTTTTTCTTGTGCTTGCCATCTCTTCTAAGAGGGGATTACGGTATAATGTCACATTTAATTTTTTCCTAAATATTTATCTTAGCACAAATTAAATCCCACTTTCAAACCAAAACGCTGCACATCCTTGAAAACAGACTTTGCCTATTCAGGAAATTCAGGAAAACATCTTGCATTTCACATATTCAGTCCCACGAGTCCCAGTTTAATAAACCTTTTCTGCACATAAAGAGGGACCACCGTATGAAGTTTAAAACAGTGCTCACCTCCAACAAGCTGGATTTTTAACTCAAGATGAAAAGGCAGTTACTGTACGTTATCTCTCCTTTCCTACAGTATATACACACACACAGCAACACCAGTCTCCCAGCTCAACTAACTGTCCCCTTGCTGATTACCTCCTGAAGTCAGTCTGGAAGCGGAAGAATAATGGTCCATGAAAAATGTCACCGAAACGCATTCGTTGCCCTGAGAGACAG